CCCCCAGAGGGGCCACACCCTCCGTTTATACAAACTTGAGTCTCCTTTGTCCAAAGATGCTCTAGGACAAATTTGGTCAAAATCCTTCTATTTGTTGAGAAGAAGAACATTTTTAAAGATTTACCTATTTTCCCCCTCTTTGGCCCTGCCCCTCTGCCCCCAGGAGGACCATACCCTCTGTTTATACAAAACTGAGAACACTTTGGCCAATGATGCTCCAGACCAAATTTGGTCAAAATCCTCTGAGCCGTTCAGGACTAGTAGCGTTTTAAATTAAAAAGTTGACGGACGCTGGAAGCTGCACCATGGGATAAGCTCACTTGGCCCTTTGGGCCATGTGAGCTAAAAATCAATCAGAAATAGTATTAGCAGGTTTGTGCCATTCTGAATTATTGTGATTGTACTGTCTGATATATTCCCTGTTTTAAGTACACTTACTATCTCCTCGCCAGTAAGATCCTTGCCTGTGGTGCTGTCCCTAACAATGGTCTCCATCACCTGTCGCCCAAAGTCGGGTTTACTGAGAGCTTCATCTGTCATCACACGTGCGACTATTGTCTGTCAATTTAAGATTTAATAAATAATGGATAATATTATCATAGCATCTCATTAACTACTGTCTGTGCCAGCAAATTCTAAAGGTTTATGCAAATACATAATTACAAGCTTGTTACTTTTTTTGGATATCCTTAACTCTAGCACTCCAAAACCTCAACAAAAAGCCAAATTTAAAAAGTTTTTGAAAGTCAAGCCTTAATTTGGCTTCCTTGTAGTTAAAACACATTTTGATATAAGGCCATCTTTAAAAATAGGCTGGCCTGAAAATATAAACATTGAATTCAAGATATGAGCCACATTTTCACTGTCAGCCTTATCTAGTCGACATCACATCATATATGACTTACTTTTCCAACGATTTGAATGGAGAAACAAATTCATTTAAAAAATAACTATTTATCATTATTTCTTTCTTGCAAAAATGAATTGACTGGAAATTTACCATTGGTGGTTAACTGTCTTAATGACTTTGAAAAGAATAAGATTGCCTAGAAAATCATCATCGAATACCCAAGGCTGATGATTTCGCTTCGCTACTTACTGACATCACCCAATGTTGGGTGAGTAGCGAAGTGAAATCAGTGGTGGGTATCCGACGATTCTTGAAAATAGGCCAACTTTGAAAATAAACCTGGGATTTCTTATTGAATATGAAAATAAGCTGTGGCTTATTATTGAGATTTTAGGTTATAGTGTACAGTAACTTTAGCTTAAACAATACTAAGGACTCAATGGTTCTTCAGAAGAAGTTGTGAGGATTTTTAAGTGAGTTAGACTACTGTGCCCTTGAAAGGGGTCAATGTCATTCATTTACACAAATATGATTGATCTTAATGCGAGCAAGCTACTGGTTAAACATGAAGACTCTACACCTCATGGATCTGAAGAAGCAGTTGTAAGTAAGAAGAGGCCTAATGTACCTGTTAATTCTTTTATTGTTGAGATATGAAGTTACCCATCACGTCAGTAATAACAAGGAAGAAAAAAAAATTAAATATCATACTGTAGTGACAAAAAATATTTGTCATTTTTGTTATTAATTTTCCTATATAAATGAAGTAAATGGCAAACAATGGCATCAAGTGGCATGACATTCATACTTTTTATGACTCAAAAATTATGCTTTACTTGTTTCCCAGTGCTATCCATAATAAAGATACTCAAAAACATCATTTAAGCTATACAAATGTATGCCCTTCCTAGCAGGGGTTCTGTGACCTTGGAGTATTGAAATTAGCACAACCTTGGTAAGGTTAATTTCCTCACACATTTCCATCCATGAAGACTTAATTATATATAAATAAATTTCATTTATTGTTTCAGTTTTTGTTCAGCAGAAGAAGATTTATGAAATATGGTCAATTTTCCCACTTTTCCTGCATGCCCCTGGAGAGGATGGGGAAAAGGTGTCAGATTCCTCATACTATCAAACCACCCCCGGATGGGATGGGCAAGAGGTGTCAGATTCCTCATACTATCAAACCGCCCCCGGATGGGATGGGCAAGAGATGTCAGATTCCTCATTCTATCAAACTGCCCCCGGAGGGGATGGGCAAGAGGTGTCAGATTCCTCATACTATCGAACCGCCCCCGGATGGGATGGGCAAGAGGTGTCAGATTCCTCATACTATCAAACCGCCCCCGGAGGGGATGGCAAGAGGTGTCAGATTCCTCATACTATCAAACCGCCTTCCAATATCACATTCATTCTTACCAAGTTTGAATTACTTCTTTCTAAAAATAACAAGATATTTCCAATGTGATTATTCCCCTATATTAACTATAATAAACTTAACCTCCTCCCCAGGTACAGATGAGTGAACAGAGGATGATGAAATTAACATTTTTGATAAATCACCATAGGACATTACAATCCATAATGAGTATTTGGTTCTAGGATTTCTGGGTCATATATTTTTGTTTTTAATGATTTTAGCAAATTCACCCTTTTTAACGCCACTCCTCATGCTTTAGGGAGAAGTCAGGATCATAATTTTCATAATGTCATACTGCTATCACATTATGATAATTTCAACCAAGTTTCATTTATTTCCAACCAAAAGTAACAAAATATACCTAAAGTTTCCCTTTGTACAGTCCCCCCCATCCCCAAGGAGGAATGAATGACATTAGAGTAATAAAGTTTACATTTTACTCAAGCACATATAAGGCTTTGTCATCAATGGTAATTTATTGATTCTTGGATATTCTGATGGACCAAGGAACTACAATTTTACAATAACATACTCCTTTGGGGTGTTCATTCCTAAGCTTGAATTAAATCTTTTGATCAGGTTAAAATGTGAAAAGTGTATGCATGTTAGACAATGCCAGATGAAAAGCAATCATACTAGATCATGTTAGCCTCTGGCTCTGATGACCTTAAAAGGTTAGCGAAGGACAGACGGACAAAACACGGTCACTGCACCATTGCATCGGCTCACAGGCACAACATCCAAGGTAAGCTGATAACTGTCTTGATTTAGCAATAAGAAAATAAGATTTCTGAATACAATGTTACTGATGGAGGTTGAATGTAGCTATTCACTATATCATATATACATTATGTATTAGGAATTGGATCAAATTACAAGTTGTATTATATAGAACAAAAGTAAAGATGAGCAATCCACATATGTACCTATATTTTATCATTTATTGTTTTACTTGGGGTGGTGTATTGTTGTCATTAGTTATAAGCTAATTTATACATATATATTGACAACAATACACCACTTTATTTTGATAAACTGTGGGAAATGAAATACATACTACTCTAATGAGGAAGTAAATGTCACAATGAGGATTAGTGAGGACGACTCAAGTGTTAACATCCACGTGGCTAGCATTTAGAGTGCTGATTACTATCACCGTCATCCAGAGATATTCTTATAACTGATGTGTCATGTGGTTTTCTTCTCTAGATTGTGACGATAAAGACAAAATTATTGCTTGTTTAACTGAATACAGGATTAAAACATTATAAAAAGTTCACAATTTAATGATACACTTTTATCAAAAAGGAATGTTACAAAACCACTCTCTCACTGAAATATCATAACAGATTTATATTAATGCTGAGTCACTGATATATTATAATGCTGTGTCATTGATATATTATAATGCTGTGTCATTGATATACATAATTAAACATAGCTTACTACAGTGATATTTAACTTAAATTTAACACAGATTCTGTTAAAATGCAGCCCATTAAAATGTAACACAGACATTATTATAGTGTTGTTTTACTGAGATATCATATATCACAGATGTTATTATAGTGTTGTTTTACTGAGATATCATATATCACAGATGTTATCATAGTGTTGCTTTACTGATATATCATATATCACAGATGTTATCA